GGATTTCAAGTAATCCAATGATTCTTAAATTATGTTTCCTTGATACTTTTTCAGGTTAATTGTTTTTGAATGAAATATTTCACATTTTCTTCTTTTTTTTATTTTTTTGACTTTGATGGACCATTTTTTTGGATGTGTAATGGAGTCATTAGCTCCTACTTGCCCAATTTGGCCAATTTTTTTTTGTGAGACAGTGAGGTGAAGTGACTTACCCAGAATCACACAGCTAGTAAGTGTCAAGTGTCTGAGGCCAGATTTGAACTCAGTTCTTCCTGAATCCAAGGTCAGTGCTCTATCCACTGTGCAATTCTGCTGCCTCCAATTCTGTTTTTTAACGTGTATTTTCATCAGAAAATTTTTGTACCTCTTTTTTTTCCATTTGACCAATTTTCTTTTTTAAGGCATTATTTTCTTAAATAATGTCACTCTTACTATTTTTTAAATGTATTTTCATATTTTTTTACTTTCATTTCTTTCCTTATTTTTTTTCTTTATCAGTTTTACTTGATTTTGAAAATAATGTTTTTAGCTTTTTAGGGAATTTTTGTTGCACTTGTGTCCAACTTATGGTTTTCTTTGAGCCTTTGCTTTTGCTTATTGGATTTCATTGTCTTCTTCTGAGCTGTTTCCTGCTCTTTCCTATCATCATAGGAATTTTTTTTTATGGCAAGGTACTCTTGTTGTTGTTATTTTCTCATATTTTTCCACCTTTTTTCTTGATTTTGAACTTAATGTTTGGGCTCTGTTTCAAGGATGGTTGGAGGTAGAGGCAATGTCTCATGGTTCAGGTTTATTTTGCACTGCTGTTTTCAGAGTTAGTTCGAAAGGTTTGGAAGTTTGGGGCACCTCCAAGTTAGTGTGATCTGAGGAGAGGTGAGGTCACTGTTCTCTTAGTCTGTCCACTGCTCCTTACTCAGGAAGGGTCCCTGATCTCTTGGGATTGCAACTGATGCTGCTCCTCAGGGTTCTTGATCCCTTCTTGAGTGCAAAAATGATACTACCCTTCATGGATTCCACTCCCCCTTGTCTAAAAGTGCTTCTCCTTTGAACTAAGATGCAGAAGTCAGCATAAGCAATTGAGTTGCTAAGCACTACATCCAGTGTTAGCACAGGAATCCCCTGTAGTTTCTTTCTGACATATTGCCATCTCACTCTCTCTGGTCTGGGAGCTCCTGATGCTGTTGCTGCTTCTGTCACCACCACCTCATCCCACACTAGTGTTTAATCCTTGTAGGCTCTGGGTCACTCTCCACCCCCATGTCACAGATCTCTCTTTTCAAACTCCTTAGTTCTCTTGGGCTTTTAGAATGTCTTACTCTTATCTTTTTTTTTGACTCTACCACTCCAAAATTTGATTTGAGGTGTTATTTTAAAGTTATTTGCATGGGAAAGTTGTGAGGGCTCAGCTGAGCACTTTCTCTACTCTGTCATCTTGGCTCTGCTCCAGAGGTTGATTTTTTTTTTAAAATCAGTGTTTGTATTTTGTTTGAACTTCCTCAAAGTTCAAATTTTAAGATACTATTGTATCTTTGCCTGTCTGAATCCATGAGTTGACTTTTTATTATGCTAAAGAGTTTGTGGTAATTTTTATCTAGGCTTGTGTGAGTCTAACTAAGCATATTGTATCATACTTTCCAGTTTTACATCCATAGCAGCTGGGTATTGACAGTTCTACAGCTGAATATCTAGGCCATTACAGGATTTTTATGAATGGAATCAGAAATAGAGAGAAAACATCATTAAAGAGGAATATATAGAGTTTATGATTAAATTAAACCATGAGCTAAACTCGTGCTTTATAAGTCACTAACTTTAAGTAATTAACAAGTGAAATGAATATGAAATGATCAGGATAGCAAATCATAGATTAATATTATTAGCCTCATTTACTTGAATCAGTCATTATTTTTGTCTGTTTCAGCATTTTCTAAAGAATTTTCTCAAAGGTTTCTTAAATTTCAAGAGTCATTTATCCTTTTAATACCAGTTTCCTTTCAAGCTAGTTAACTGAACTAAATGTAATTCAATTCAACTTTCATATATTAAGCTTGTGTTTTGGGCAAGACAGAGTTCCAGGTCCTAGTGATACAAAGATTATGACTACACTGAAAATTATACTAGGTAGAATTTGACAGGGGAAAAATACTCCAAACAAAGTATCCTAGTAAAACATGAAGAAGGAAAGAAAACTTGGAGCTAGGGTTATCAGAGAAGGGTACACCACAAAGAGAATAAAATTTAGAAATGGAACAAATTGCATGGACTATATAGTCCAATTTATACCTAGACAAGAATCCCATCAATACCTCAAGTGGTCAATGAACTTTTGCTAGAAGACTTCTTGTAAACAGGGGACCTATTACAAACAAAGGCAATGAATTTCCCTCATGTATACCCCTAATTGTTAGAAAGTTTTTCTTTTCTTTGCAGTAAGCCTACATCTGCTTTTCTGCAACTTCTACTCATTGCAAATATCTGCAATCTGAGACCAACCAGAACAAATCTCATCTCTTGTCCTTGTGATGGCCCTTCAAGTACTTGAACACAGTAATTATGTCCTTTCCTAAGCCCTCTTGTCTTTTTTTGGTGGGAGGGGAAGAATCCCCAATTCCTTCAACTAATTCTAAAATAATACGATCTCAAAATTCTTCACTATCCTGGTTACCCTTCTCTGGATGTTCTCTAGTTTGTCAATGTCCTTCTTCAAACATCGTGCCCTTAACTTAGAGCAATACTCCAAACGTGATCTTTCTAGGGCAGAGTACACTGTCAGGGTATCAAAGGGTATTTTAAAACATTGATTTTAATATGTAATTTTAGCAAAAAAAAAATAAAGGATAATATGAAGGATGGATTGTGCTAATGAAAATAGAGGTATAATAGGAAGGTTTAGTTAATGTAATGATACTCAAGATTTACTTTAAAAATGTTCTATAATTTAGGTATTCATTCCAGTTTTGTCCTTACTACATCTGAGGTTATATTTTCATCTTATGTTTATTGAATACATTTTCATTCTCTCTCTCTGTCTCTCTTTCTATCTCTCTTTCTCTTTCACACATACACACACAAATCTTTATTTTTCTCTGAATGTCTCTAGTACTATTAACTGCACTCATTAAAACAGTTGCTTCAGTTAATAATATATTGAATGGATTCCTTTGTAAATAAACTCCCTCTAAATTAAAATAGTGATATTTCTGTCAAAGCCATCTTCCCTCAGTCTTATCTGTCACATTTCTCTAACAGGGCCACTTAGTGTCACTACTTTTTTGGTGGCAATTTCTCTTGACATCCCAATATGCAACCTTACAGGGCTACTCTCATCTTTTCTTAACATAGAGTGACACGCTTGGAATTTCATCAAAACCTAGCTATTTTCACATTTAAAAATTCTTCATGAAAAAAGATGTCTTATGTATAAGAATAGACTATTTTATTTTTCTTTATGATTATGGTGTGATATGAATAAATATTTACAAATAAGAGATGGCCTGGTGAAGTGGAGAGAGAGTTAGCCTCAGAAGCAAGGAAATCAGGGTTAAATCCTACTTCTAACATTAATCATATGACCCTGAGGAAGTTCCTTAATCTATTGATGTAGGATTCTTGGACTGTAAGTTTTAGAACAAAGGCAGTTTTGCATTAGCAGGATATTTTCCCTCATCAAAAGTTCCTTATAACAATGAAATTAGAGGTCTAGCTCTATCCTTAAAAGGTATAAATGAAATATCCATTAGGGCAAAATAAGACACAATTTTGGATGTGGCATATCTGTTGCCTTAATAAGAAGAACGACAGAGGTGATGTCATTTAAACTTTTGCTTCCTCAACTATGCACCTTACTTAGCTCATCACCTCAGAGAGAATTGACCATTACTATTTAGAAGATAAACTAAGCCTGTATTCAGTATTAAATGACTACAGATCTTGAATTGGTCTTTTTGGTTATAGAGCAACACCAGCATCAGCTTAGAATATGAAGACTATAACTTTTGTATATGAGGTATAGTTTTTGTATTGAGAACTTTATGCCCTTAGTTGTAACACTATAGTCATTACAATATAAATTATATATTCTAAGTGGATAATAAGAGAATGTACAACCTAAAAAGTATAGTAAAATTCTGTAAAACTGAGACTTTTGATGGAATACAGCATGTCTGTTTCAATAAAACCACTTGGAAATATAAGTAAAACTAAGCAACAGAATGTCATATTGGCATTATATAGGAAAAGAATTAGCCTGCTGAACTTAATATGAGTTATACGTAATATGAGTTATACAAATGCATGCATGTGCCTAATGTGTTTATAAGCATAATGTGAATTGTATTTTATATTATATTTCACATATTTTTTTAACCTGATAACAATGACTCATAGAAGTCATTATGCAAATAATTATGTTATGCAGAAGGAATCTGCATTCTCTGGAAAAAATGATTTTTTTATAAATCTAGCAAGAGTAAACAAAAACATATATACATCTTTAGCTGAAATAATTGGATAGATTCCCCACCCCCAAATGCAAAGTCAATAATCCATTATTGGTGGTCCACAAAATTTGTATTTGAAAAAAAAATGTTCAGATACTTTTCATTACCTCTGAAAAGTGTATTTAGCTTTCATTTCAGAAATTTGGCTTGAGTAATAAGATGTCTGTTCCCCAAAACATAAATTCTTATGCATCATGAAGAAATTAAAATTTGACATGCAAAAAATAATGAAAGTAGAAATGTATTAAGCTACAATATATTACATATACAAAATTTAGATATTTACAAACTATTTCATATCAATGTACTAGTAGGATTGATATAATCTTCTGATAAAACATTTTAATGAAAAATATCATCATCTATACATATTTATATGTTGGGGGGTAACAGAAAATAGGAGAACTTCCTCAAAAACTTTTACATGCAATATCAATAACTTTTTTTATTTGAGTAATTTAAAATGAAATAGATATTTGTGACCTATTTTTCTTTATACAGGAATGCAGGACAAAAACATGGAGGCCAAGTATTGTGTTCAAAAGGAACATTCTACTTATACGAGAGGTTAGAGAAGATGACATTGGAAACTACACATGTGAGCTAAAATATGGAGGCTTTGTTGTTAGAAGAACCACTGAACTCACTGTGACAGGTAAGTACACAAATTAATATCTGAGGTTTTATTCCTTGTTGAAGGTATACTCTATGTCAGGGATTGGGAATCTGAGGCCTCAAGGCCACATATGGCCCTCTAGGTCCTCAAGTGGGGCCCTTTGACTAAAACTTCACAGAACAAATCCCCTCAATAAAAGAGTTTGTTATATAAAACTTGTACTCAATCAAAAGGCTGCACCCAAGGACCTAGAAGGCCACATGTGGCCTCTAGGCTGCAGGTACCCCACTCCTCCTATATACTCTGCAAGTTAGACTTGACCAAGTGAGAAAGAGTGAATTGTGAATGTCTACCATCTCTAGAATGAAAAAAATTTGTACTGAAATCAAGTTGAAAATATTAAAGTGTCACATTCATAGCACTGTAAGGAATTTTGAGATATGCAATGCCACAAACAGAAAATTTACACTGTACCTATTCACAGAAACTTTTGAAAATACATTAAAAAAATTTACTTCTTTTGGATCATTTGGTTTTACTATCAAATATTTTCTAAGTACAGGTTACTCCTACATTTGTGTTCAGTTTAGAATAGCAACTGGTTTTTCTTTTACATGTCATATTCTATTACTTAATGATCTAATATGTTATTCTTTGTAAATAACTAAAGATTTTATCATCTGGAATACAATAACTGTGAAATTATGTCAGGTATGATATATAAAGTCAATATAGTTAATGGAGTAGAGGACCAAGATTCAAAAGAAAGCACTAGCTCTTGTTCCACCAAATACTAAATGAATCAATCCCTTAACTTCTCTGGGCCTCATTTTCATCACCTGGAAAATGGAGACAATGATATCTATCATAATTTTCTTACAAGATCAAGTCATTTGACATATGTTAAGGAACTCTGTAAATGTTAAAACGTAAGACAAATGTGACACATCATCATTATTGTTCATATATGCCATGCAAAATAAATATGCAGAATTACTTGTATACTTAATCCTAACCTTAAGTGGAAATTGTTCCCATGAAAGAAAAAGGGGTACAGAATGGATTGTGAAATGAGGATTTTCAAGGATTTAGCCCTTTTAAAAAATGCTAAAGAAATGAAAATGACACATTTCAGAATTATATTTAAAATACAGAATCTTCAAAATGTGACACATTAAGGAACATTGTTACTTTTTCTCCTTATTGTGGAGTTTTCCAGCTCATATTGTTTGCAATTCAGTGGGAAGAATAAAAGACAAGTTATTTTTGTTTTTCTAAAGCACTTGAAAGCACAGGTATAAGAGTAAAAATTGTAAGGACTGTGACCATCATTTCATCCTTAGTTGATATGTACAAAATTTGTAAAGATTGTTTTGGCAAAAAATACTTAATATCTGTTTTTGCAGAGCTTTTTTTCTCATTTTCTTATGAAATATGTTTTTGCTTTCATATAAAATACTTTAAGGACAATGAGTTTTGGATGTCTGTCACTTATCTTAATTCTGCAATATTTTCTCTGGACATTATTTTTATTTGAAGAGCCTTTAAGAAAATACGTTGTGTTACTTTCAATATATTGCCCAGTCAAATGGAATTCATTTCTTTTTTGAATGTGACAGGTACCATCTTAGAGATACCAATGGAAAAATTGATTGTCACAAAGCTTACGTTTGGATGAAATACAGACTGAAAGCTCTTGGACTATATTTGATTTATACCGGTGGTAGACAGTTGACTTTTGCAGGAAATGAATGATGGAGGCACTTGAGTAATAAACAGATTTTCAGCTTTTCAGGATATAGTAGTTCAGAATATATACACACAAACACACAGACACACACAAACACACATATACATACATACATTTACATACACATGTATGTAGAAATATATCTATATACACACATATATTCAGAGTGTATATGATTTACTGTGGGATAGTATCATTAATTGGTTCTAAAAATTATGTTAAGTGAAATGAAGCTATGGTAAGAAGGGCAGTTAATTCCCTAGAAATAATAATAGAAATGAATAAGTGACCAACTGATGTTACAATTAGGATTTTGTGACTTTTTGATGAGGTTTGCTATAAAGTGTTCATAATACTGTTGCAAAACGACAATAGTTAGGGCAAACTTAAATATAGGATTTCCCTTCATTTTGGAATTCTACTACTTAATAGCTCTGTCTGGAAATGAAATCTGAATTAATACTTTAACACTGCACTCAACTATCTTGCCAACAGCCTAATGAAAAATGTCTGATAAATGTTCCTATGTTGCATTTCCTTTATAATATAGATTGAATTTTCTTTCCTTCTGAAATCTGCCAATCATTATTGAAGTGGTGTCTCTCAGGTGCAGAAATTTTGATAAGAGAAGTTTAATCATCAGTGTAATGGAATATGGGGGAAAGATGCCTTCTGAGAAGAAAATAGGAGCCAATTTCTAATCTTTCTTCATTGGCTTATAAAGTCAGCCTAAAACAAACCCTTGGTATTAAACTTTTTTCTTCCACTGATTCTATGAATCTAAACCACTATGACAGGTATTTTTCAAGTAGTAAGACATAAAAAGAAGAAATTTCAACTAAACTCCTATTTAACAAAATGTCTCCTTTCCATCCATCAAAGGAAAGAAGTATTTCCTCATAGTAGGGAAGAAATTGAGAATGTTTCACTAGGAAAAATTGCCATCCAACCAAATAGCATGGAGTCTATTCTATTTGAGTTCTACACACACTGATTTAGGTAAAAAAGATTTGACAATATCTACAATTTTGTATGAATGGGACAGCTGCCTGTTCAGGATTGTGAATAGTACATATGAAGATGCATTTTAGGTATTACCATAAAGTCTATTGAATGTGCAAATTTATTCATATCAAAATGCTTTAAATGATATGACATGCTAACATATTTCCTATGCATATAGCCGAAGGTGATTCCAATTCTTGAGACATAAATCATGTCAGTCAGTAAAGCTGCAATGGTGGATAGGTCTCTGAATGATAGTGATTCATTGTTTGATATACTTTAATGTTCAGTCCATCATGATCACACTTCCCTAAAAGTATAATATCATCCTTTTTTTTTCACCATTGGTGAATGTTTTTCTTATGAAATTTTTTAAAGCCAGGTAGAAAATTTATTTTCTAAATCAAAAGTCATTAATATGATGAAATAAAGTACAATAAAATTTCCCCTAAAAGACACAAAGTATCAATGGGGTTTATTATTGCCAGCATTGTTTAGCAACTTGTTAAGTCTTTTACATTTAATAGTTTTTGAATGGATAGCATAATGACTGACAGAAATGTATATCATGGTATATAAAGTTACACATCACATATAATCAGTGTATATGTTTATAATATGCATGCTTTATTTTATATTGATACACATACATATTACAAAATATGTATACACATACACAAACACATTAAATAGGAAAGAATTTATACATACATATATGTACATATGTGTTTATATGTATGTATACATACATATATTTTTAACGTACATCACATAAATATGTCCCCATGGAATTTGGGGTGATTTTGTTTGTTTTTAATAACAAATATTTTATCATAGTAGAAAATATTTTTTAACATCTAGTTTATATTTCAGTGTTATTAAGTTAGTGGTGAAACACAAAAAAATAGTTGATATTACTATTCAGAGGCTGTCAGTGATTGACATACTCATTTATTGTAGCATGTGCTAGTCAACCAATTCAACTCATACTCAACTCAAACCAAATATCCCACCCATTCTTATCTCTTGGCTCCTGATAACACAGAAGGTCCCTGTAATGTACTCAGACTATCAGCTCTTCTACTATACAACTGATTGAGGCTTGGCTAGGAAAATAGATGGTATTCTTATCCTTCTGTGAACCACAACTATATTCATAAGATCCCTGATGTTGAGCTGAAAAAGACCTCAGGGATCATCTAGTCCAGCCTTCTTATGAAAGATGGAGAAACTGAGGACCAGAGAGATGAAGTGACTTGTTCTGGGTGGCACAGGTTGTACAGAACAGAGCAGGAACTCAAATTGAAGTCTTATGAGTTCAGGTTCAGCACTCTTTCTTCTGTACCGCCATGCTCCCCAACACCTCATCTTCCCAATTCCATCAGTTTAACTTTTTTTCCTTTCTGGCTTAAATAAAGAAGGAGTTAATCTTTTGGAACTGCATATACCTCTTTGCAATACAAGAGACTGATTAAAGATGTGCCTGTACTCACTAGGTTAGGTCAGATCAAAAGGTCTCAAAGGAAGAAAATAGGCATTTATTAAGTGCCCATTATAGCTAGGCATTGTGTTAAGAGCTTTACAAATATGTATCTTCACTATAAACCTGGGAGTTAGGTGCTTTTTAGTTGTATTTCACAGTTGAAGAAAATGAGTCAGGCATATTAAATGACTTCCCCATGATCACTCAGCTAATAAGTGCCTGAGTCTAGATTTGAACTCTAATCTTCTAGTGTTCTGTCCTCTGTTCTACCTACCTGGCTCTGGGCTAGATTTGGAATGAGTCAATTACTTTACTGGTCTTAAGACTATTTACAAATAAATGAGCATAATTTCTAAAGTATTCTCTCTTTTTCAAAAAAAAAAACTGAAATAGCTATATTTCTCAACCACTGGTGATGTGAGGATTGAATTATTTACATTCCCTTTGCTTTCAGAATGACAAATACGACAGTTGTGGAAGGCTCTGGGCAGCTTGTTTGACCTCTGTCATGTACCTACCTGCTCTGCTTCCTAAGCAAAAGAGCAAATTTGCATGCATATACCATCTTTTCTTAACTTTTCTCTTGATTTTCTTTGTTGTCTAGGGTTAAAATGAATGTGAAATATAGTCTTTTCTCATGTTCCTCGCAAGTAGGTATGTGAGTATGGATGGATTAGCATAGTTCACATTGAAATGCAGATTTCTCATCTTTATGAACTCTTCCCAGTCAATTTACATATTTTTATTAATATATTTTCCTGAAGTTATCCACAAACATTTTAGTTGCCTATGGCCTAGAAA